GAATCACTTCCATTTTATTTATTTATTTACTTATGGGTGGCAACTTCTTAGAACAATTTCACTCCAAGAATAGTAGAATGGGGAGACTAGGATAAAGTACTTTAATGGGTAAATTACAAAACAGTACAGTTTTTTATTTACTTTTTTTGAACAGTGTCTCAATATGTAGCCAAGGTTTGTCTCAAACTCAAAACCCTGTCTTAGCCTCCTGGGTGTTGGGATACCAAGTGTGCACCACCAACCCTGGCTTCATTTATTTATTTTTTTCTTTTAAGATGTGCAGCCTACACAGCATCTCTTGGATTTTTCAATAATACTTCTTTCATACTTGGTTTTTAAGGCTGTAATACAACTTTGTTGAATTACAAATTAAAAAATAAAACAATTCTGTAGCAGCAGTCATAGTCCTAAATATAGCCCAAACAAATTGTGTTTCATTCCTAAATTATTGTAGCATATTTTCACGACTTAGATGATTTTCCACAAGACATTTACTTTCACTAAAGAAACATACCACTAGATCTTTGAAAGGATGAAGCAGTAGCCCCAAAGGAAGTTTGGCTTTATTCAGTAAGGCCTGAGTCTGAGGAATGCTAGTCAGCGTGCATCGAAATAACCTATTGAAAAAAAAAAACACACATTTATCAATTGCTGCTATTGTTATTTTGTGGGGAAAAAAGAGAAAGGATGCATCTTTTAATATGAGATCAGATTGCAAATGATTCATAGATTCTCAAATTTTATACCATTCAAAATAGTTAAGTTGCTAGGTGTGATGGAGCACACCTGTGAGTCTAGCACCCAAGTCTAGGCATATGGATTACATGTTTGAAGTCAGCCTGGGCTACAGTGAGACCAGATCTTAAGAAACTAAATAAAAAGCCAGGCGTGGGGGTGCACACCTTTAGTCCCAGCACTTGGGAGGCAGAGGCAGGCAGAGCTCTGTGAGTTCAAGGCTAGCCTGGTCTACAGAGGGAATCCAGGCCAGCTGTGGCTACAGGGAGACCCTGTCTCAAAAAAAGACCGAAAAAACAAAAACAAAAAAGAAACTAAATAAAAAATTATGTCTATGACCTACCCATAAATAAAGAACAGCCTCTCTTCTCCCAGGCTCAGTGATCCTACCTCATTCAGTCTACCAAATAGCTAGGGTTATAGGTATGTGCCACTTTACCAAGTCAAAGTTTGTTTCAGAGCAGTTTTACTAAAGGCACTAAAAATATTATTTCAAAATAACAAAAAATATTTTGTAACAAAAATCTTATACAATTTATGAGTCTTTACCACATACTTTTAAATTTGTAGCAATTATTTAGGGAATAAAAAGCTATGCTGAATGTCACATCCTTAACCTAGGAGGTTAAACCACAGAAAATCACATTTGAGGGGCTGGAGAGCTGGCTCAGTGGTTAAGAACACTGAATGTTCTTGCAGAAGACCTGGGTTTGAATTCCAGCACCCACATGGCAGCTAACAACTGTCCGTAACTCCAGTTCCAGGGGATCCGACACCCTCTTCTGACCTCTGCAGGCACTGCATGATACAGGTACACTTATGCACATGGAGGCAATACACACATACACATAAAATAAAAATAATAAAATAAAATATATAAAAAAAGACCTGGATCAAAGTGTGGATCCCTGGCTACATAGTTGAGTTTGAGGTTAGCCTAGCTTACATAAGATCCTGTCTCTATAAGCAAACGAACAGCAAAGAAAGAACTATAAACAAACAAATCCCTATACTTTGGAATGAAGCTGTATTAATGACAGTGATTAAATTTTTAATCAAGCTAATAAAAGCAACAATCAGCTCAAGGGCTATAACCCATTTCTTAATTTAGAACATTTCAACTCTCAAATAAGCAAGTAACAGAGTCCTACCTTCTAGAGTCCTAGTTTACTTTACGGCCATTCATAATACTTACAAAAAGAGAAAAGCCATACCAGAAAACTTAGAATAGGAATCATAGTCGTATTTAATAAGAAATGTTAATTGAAGCCTTACTCTGGGTTACAGTTGAGTTTCTGGATGTCTTCATGCAAATTTGGAACTGGAGGCTGCACAGGTGTTGAGGGAAGCATGTTCCTTTCTTGAAGAAGATTGACAACTCGTAGACCCTCTGGATGTAGACTTAACCCACTCATGCTTGCATTTAAATGATTAGCACCTAAGGGAGTCTATAGACACAGTTCAAGTAAGCAACTTTTTTTTGTCTTTTTGAGACAGGGTTTCCCTGTAGCTCCAGCTGTCCTGGAACTATGTAGACCAGGCTGGCGTTGAACTCACAGAGACCCGCCTGCCTCTGCCTCCTGAGTGCTGGGATTAAAGGCATGTGCCACCACGCCCAGCCATAAGCAACCTTTTTAAGTGTGGAGAGACTTCCTATTTTCTAAATAGGAAAAGTAAAGGCTGGGCGTAGTGGTGCATGCCTTTAATCCCAGCACTAGGGAGGCAGAGACAGGAGGATCTCTTGAGTTCAATGCCAGCCTGGTCTACATAGTGAGTTCCAGGTCTGCTGGGGCTAAAGGAAGATATCAAAAAGACCCCCCTCCCCCCCAAAAGCTTTATTTATAAGGGCTAGAGAGATGGCTCAGTGATTAAGATCACTGACTGCTCTTGCAGAGGACCTGGGTTCAATTCCCTGTACCTACATGGCAGCTAACAATCACCTGTAAATCCAGTTCTAGAAGAATTTAACGTCCTCTTCTGACCTCTGCAGGCATTGTACAACACGGGTACACATGCAGGTAATACACTTGCACACATAAAATAAAAAAATAATGGCCGGGCATGGTGACATATGCCTTTAATCCCAGCACTCGGGAGGCAGAGGCAAGTGGATCTCTGTGAATTCAAGGCCAGCCTGGTCTACATAGTGAGTTCCAGGACAGCTAGGGGTACAGAGAGACCCTGTCTCAAACAGACATAAATACATAAATGAATGAATGAATGAATAAGTATTTTCTTAAAAAGCTTTATGAAACACTCATTATTGTAGCTGGGCGTGATGGCACACGCAGAGCCAGGCGGATCTCTGTGAGTTCAAGGCCAGCCTGGTCTACATAGTTCCAGGTCAGCTGGAGCTACAGGGAGACCCTGTCTCAAAAAGACCAAAAAAAAAAAAAAAAGAAATACTCATATATTCATTATTGTTCCAAATGGTTATAAAAATGTTCAATATACCTTATAAACTTTCACTATGTATATATAGTTTGAACCAAAAGGGAAAGTAAGTTTTAAAAAAAAAGTTTACCTGAGTAAAGGCCTGGGGACCACTTGGATAATTCAAGGATGAAGGTGGCATTCCAGTTGCACTAGGTGGTGCTGTGTTCTGGTAGCCAGGTGGCAAGGAGGGATATGCATACCCAACACTTCGACTCGTTTTGGGATTCTGATTAGTAAGCTGTGGTGTTGCTAGAAACAAGGTAACTTTTAAGTTCTACTTTATACTCCAGAATACTTCAAATCACAATAAAGACCCATTAAGTTATGGGAATTAAAACACCAAATTCCTTTGAATTAATCTAATACTTTTGTTTATCAAGATAAATAAAATAATCATTAAAGATCAATAATCATTAGCAACATAGTAATGCCAATGACAAGTCTAGCTGCTGCAGACAATAGCTACAAGCAAACAAAAGTAAACTTGGAATAGTTAATTTGCTTTCATATTAGTATAGTAAATTTTATATTCGGACTAAATTTTCATTTCAAACAACTTTAATGAAAACAACCTAAATGCCATTTAGGGGTTTGGCTACATAAGTTTAAATATATCTAAGTGAGTAAAATACCTCACAGTCATGACATAGTAATAATAAAGTCCCTAACTCCAAATCTAAAAGGAGAAAGAAACTGAATGCACAGAAGTAAAAAATGTTAATAGTAGGTATGTGTACCACAGGATCAAGTTTTTTTTCTTAGTTTCCTATAATGAACACATTACTTCTATATCAGAAAAAAAAAAAAAAGACTTAGAAAGAAAGAAGGAAGGGCAGAAAAAACTTTCGCAGCATCTCACCCAAGAAGCCACCTCCTTCAATTTCATCATAAGTACTATGGGCCACCATAGAGCCATTATTGGCATTTGATGTAATACCTAAAAGGGAAGTTCATCAACAAGATTTAAATTAGAATGATTACTTATAATTTCTTCAAGATATTAACTAGTATCTAAAATTTTAGATACCTGCCAGACATGGAGACACATACCTTTAAACCCAGCACTCAGGAGGAGACAGACAGATTGCTGTGAGTTTGAGGCCAGCCTGTCCTACATAAGTAAGTTCTAGGCCAGCCAGGGCTATATAGTAAGATCCTATCTCAACCCCCCAAATACTACTACTACTACTACTACTACTACTACTACTACTACTACTATTATTATTACTACTACTAATAATAATAATAACAACAACAACATAAAATGAAATTTTAGATAAACCAGAGCAAATAATTTAAACCACAGCCTATGAACGTCAAATCTTAGGGCTGGAGAGATGGCTCGGCAGTTCAGAACACATACTGTACAGCTCTTCCAGAGGACCTGAGTTTGGTTTCCAGCACCAACATCAGTGGCTCACAACTGCTTGTAACTCCAGTTCCAGGGGGATTCAATGACTCTGGCCTCTGTAGGCACCTGCACTCAAGTGCACATATCTACACTCATACACATAGTTAAAAATAATAAAAACTATGGCCGGGCGTGGTGGCACATGCTTTTAATCCCAGCACTTGGGAGGCAGAGGCAGGCGGATCTTTGTGAGTTCAAGGCCAGCCTGGTCTACATAGTTAGTTTTAGTACAGCTGGGGCTACAAGGAGACTATCTCAAAAAGACCAAAAAAAAAAAAATAATAATAATAATAATAAAAACTGGCTGAGTGTGGTGGTGCACACCTTTAGTCCCAGCACTGGGGAGGCAGAGGCAGGCAGATCTCTGTGAGTTCAAGGCCAGCTTGGTCTACATAGTGAGTTCCAGGTCAGCTGGAGCTGTGGGGAGACCCCGTCTCAAAAAAAATAAAAAAAAATAAAAAAAAAAATAATAAAAACCACCTAGCATAGCCAGGCAGAAGAAGTAAGAACAATGTCCTTCCAGAAAATCTGGCCAATTAGCACGACCACACATATGAGAGGGGCGGAGAAGTACACCTGCCAACAGTTAGGCAGGAAACAGTCAAGGGCAATACTATGAAACTTTCAGTGTAATTTGGGAGGCTGGTAGATGCAGAAATTGTCAGGGGGACATTTCAGACATGGGACATGAGCATCTTCCTTGCATCCTGCCTTCACTACTTTCATCACCACGCATTTCTACATGGGAACTCTGGTGGATGCTGAGCTTCAGCTTGTTGATGCTGAGCTAGAGATGTGCACAGTTTCCTCCCTTTTGTATTTTCTTCTTTCTATTATGACCTTCCCTCCCCATTACAAAATTGGGTACATGTAGGTCTCAGCAACTGGTATTAAGTTACAACTCATGATTCTTATTCAGAAATAAATAAAGTAAATGAGCCCCCCGCCCCCCAATAAAAGAAATCCTTTCTTAAAAAGTCAAATTGCCAGGCATGGTGCCACACGCCTTTAATCCCAGCACCTAGGAGGCAGGGGCAGGTGGATCTCTGTGAATTCAAGGCCAGCCTAGTCTACATAGTGAGTTCTAGGACAGCTGGGGGCTACAGGGAGGCCCTGTCTCAAAAAGACAGGGGAAAAAAAAAAGTCAAATGTTAAAGTCGGGCGTGGTGGCGCACACCTTTAATCCCAGCACTTGGGAGGCAAAGGCAGGCAGGTCTCTATGTGTTCAAGGCCAGCCTGATCTACATAGTGGGTTCCAGGCCAGCTGGGGCTACATGGAAAAAAAGTCAAATATTAACCTTGCATAGTGGCACATGACTGTAACCCCAGCACTGAAAAGGCTGACACAGACAAGATCACAAGTTCACAGCTAGCTTGAGCTACAAAGTAAGGCTCTGTCTCAAAATTAAATAAATAAGTAAATATATAAATAGTAAAATGTTTGAAAATGTCAAATATTCACTGGCAAATGATATGAACAGACATTTTTCTAGATTTAAAATTTTTTTAATTTGGGGCTAGAAAGAGCACTGGTTAAGAGCACTGGCTACTCTTGCAGAGGACCCAGGTTCAATTCCCAGCATATACATGGCAGCTAACAACCACCTATAACTCCAGTTCCAGGGGAATCTGACAACCTCTCCTGACCTCCACTGGCATTGCGTGACATGGGTATACTTACATACATGCAGGCAATACACTCATACACATAAAATAAAAGTAAGCAATAACTAAAAATTTTTAAAAATTTAGGTGTATGTCTGTGGGTGTGTGCACATGAGTTCAATGTTCTGGAACTGCAGTTATAGGTGTGTATGTCTGTGGGTATGTGCACATGAGTTGGGTTGTCCTGGAACTGCAGTTATAGGTGGTCATAAGCCACCTAACATAGGTGCTGGGAACTGAAGTCAGGTCCTCTGCAAGAGCAATAAGCACTCTAAACCACTGAGCCATCTGCCTAGCCCCCACAGCATGCATCTTTTAAAAAAAAAATAAAAAGTAAAAATTGTTTAAGGCCAGCCTGGCCTACATAGTGAGTTCCAGGCCAGCTGGGGCTACAGGGAGACCCAGACCGAAAATAATAATAATAATAATAAAATAAATAAATAAAAAATCAAAATTAGGGCTAATGAGATGGCTCAGTAGGTAAAAATGTCACCAAGCCTAACAACCTTACTTTCATCCACAGAATCCACATAATGGCGAGAACTGACTCCTGAAAGTTGTCCTCTGACCTCCACATGTGTGCTATAATAGCACACAAAACAAAGCTGCAACTGGGGTCAATTGGGGGAAAAGCAAAAATTAGGATTGGGATGAAGATAAGCTCAGCTGGTACAGTGCTTGCCAAGCATGCATGAGGTCCTGGAGTTCAATCCCCAGCATCACATAAAACCCAGTGTGATAGTACACACATGTAACCCCAGCACTTGAGAGGTGGAGAAAGGAGAATCAGGAGTTCAAGGTTATCCTCAACTACACAGCAAGTTCAAGGCTAGTCTGGGCTACATGAGACTGGGTTTCAACCACAACAAATGCAAAACAAAACAAAACTTATCAAAATTACTACTTAAGTTGAAGAAAATAAAATTATGAGAGTATCTAAACTTAATTTGAAAGTAACAGAGCTATCCTTCATTATTCTTGGGGTGCTGTTGTAAGAACCCTGAGGACACCAAACTCTGTAGATGCTCAGGACATTTAAGGTATAGTGCTTCTAAATCTCTACATAGTTTAGATCAGAGCATTTACAAATACATTTACTATTTACAATGCTATGTAAATAGAGAACAACGTCAAGATAAAGTCTGTGTATGTTTGTATATGAAAATTTTTAAAAATTTTTGATCCAGGGTCTGTTGAATCCTCAGATGTGGAACTCATGGGTAGAGAGCAAAGATCATAAATAAATAAGCTATAACTCCTTTAGTCTAGAGAACAATCACTGAAATAAAGAATCTTGATTCTTATATATGTGTGTGCATTTTATGAGTGTACATGTGCATGTGCAAGTCAGGGGTTCTCCCTGTAGCCCCAGCTGGCCTGAAACTCACTATGTAGACTAGGCTGGCCTCAATGTCACAGAGATCCACTTGTCTCTGCTGGTATTAAAGGCATGAGCCACCACACCTGACTTCTCCCTAATTTTTGAGACAAAGTCTCTCAGTGAACCTGGAGCTTGCTAGACTGGCTCAGGGATCCTCCTGTCTCTACTTCCCATGCTACTGGCCTGCACTGCGACTAGTTTTTAATGTGAGTGCTGGACAGGTCTTCACACTTGCACAGTGCTTTTTTCCCACTGAGCCATCTCCCTAGCCTCTACCTTATATTTCAAGACAAGGTCTCTCACTGAATCCGGCCAGAGTTCACCAATTTGATGAGGCTGGATGGCCAATAATTTCCAGAGCCCCATCTGTATCCATCTCCCCAGTGCTGAGATTATAGACATACATAGCTGTGCCTGGCTTTTTTTTTTTTTTTTACATGGGTGCTAGGAACTTGAATTCAGGTTTTCCTGCTTACATGGGAAGTGTTTTACAAACTGAGTCATCTTCCTAGCCCCAGAATTTAAGAATTCCTGAAGCCTATTTCTAATTCAAACTGGGTTTTTTAGAAACATGATTCTTTCTGTCCTGAGTTAAAAATTTAAGAAATGACTTTGCTTTTTGATTTTCTTACCTTCTTGGTTGATAGATGAATTAAATGAAGGTGGGGGTACAACTCTAGGAGGTGGTTTCTGGGACATGAGGCCCCTTACTGGAGGTGGACCTCCAGCTGGAGAGGGCCCAGGAGGAGCTCCTGGCTGAAAACTGGTAGGCAGAGGTGGATTCTGTAAGGGAAGTGCAGAACCTATGGAAACATGGGTTTTCAGGTCACATAAGAACTTAAGAAAAAGGCCCCAAACAGTTTACTAAAGTTGAACAGACTTTTAACTTTACATTTTAATAAAGTAGTCACTAACAAATCCATAGAAATATGTTAACTTCCTAAATTTTTAACTCTGTAGTAGTTTATAGATTTCTAACTTTCTTCTACTATGCTTCTTGTCTGTCAATTTTTTTTTTTTTTTTTTTTTTTTTTTTTTTTTGGTCTTTTTGAGTCAGGGTCTTCCTGTAGCCCCAGCTGGCCTGGTACTGGCTATGTAGACCAGGCTGGTCTTGATCTCACAGAGATCCACCTGAGTGCTGGGATTAAAGGCATGTACCACCACACCCAGTGGTCTGTCAGTTCTTAAAGCAGTAAAAATAAATCAGCAACCTGTAGTCTTAGCTAGGGCTACATAGTGAGACCCTGTCTTACAAAAACAAAACAGGAACATTGTAGTGAGCGTTCAATTTTTATTTCATTTTGTTTTATTATGACACAACCTTTAAAAATGAGATTATACGGTGTTCCTTCTTCCCTTGGAGTTCACCACTCTGGGGAGTTATTTCTCACTTTTCCTTAATAAATCTGTACTCATTCTGCTTTTGAAAAAAATTACAAATTTGTACACTGCTTTTTTTTTTTTTGAGTCCTAGGGACTGAATTTTGGGTTTCAAACATACTAGGCAAACATTCTACCATGAAGCTACATCCCCTAGTACACCTTCAATGGTGCCTTAAATATTTCATCGATTTGACAGGGACGGAGCTCAGGTGAAGCACTTACCTAGTCTACTCAAGGCCCTAAGTTTGATCCCCAGCACTGAAAAACAAACAAAAAACCCACAGTGGTAGGCACATGGTAAGTGTTCAAATAATCAAGAGAAGCTGGGCATAGTGGCTTGGCTGGCCTGTAATCCTAGCACTCAGAAGGCAGAGGACAGATCACTGAGGTGTTCCAGGCCAGCATTAGACACAGTGAGACCTTGTCTCCAAAACAGAAACCAGGGCCAGGCAAAGTGGCATCTTATAACTCTAGCACTTGAGAGGCAGAGGAGAAAGATCAGTCCAAGGTTCTCTTTCACTAGATAGTGAGTTTGAGACCAGCCTGGGCTACATGAGACCCCATCTCAAAACAAAAAAGAAAAAAAAAATTATGTAGGTAAAGAAATGGCTCACTGGGAGAAAAAAAAGTCTGCATGTGTCCAGAATACAGAGAGAGAGAGAGAAAGAGAGAGAGAGAGAGAGAGAGAGAAAGAAATGGCTCAGTGGTTTTGCTGCACAACCATGAAGACCTGAGCTCAGATCCCAGCACCTATGTAACAAGTCAGCCATGTCCTGTAAAGCTAGCATGCTGTTGTGGGTGGAAATGATGGAAATGAGAGGATTGCTAGGGCATGCTGGCAGCCAGGCTGGCTGAAAAACTCAAGTTCAGGCTCAAGGAGAGACCTTACCACAAAAGAACAAGGCAGAGAGAGATGGAGGAGGACAACGGATCCCTCTGGCCTCTGTTCATACACATAAGAAACCGAGTTTCTCTTGCCTTTACTTCTTCACATCTCCTATTCATGATTCAAGGACTTTCTTTTTCCCTTAGAGACGAGTTATGCAATTTGGGAGTCTTTTAGATAGACCCACTGAATGGGTACCCCAATTGCCCTACCTTGCATCCCTGTTTAGCATGGAAGAAGCCAGAATGGTCTGCATCCCTATTCCCTATTGGCAAAAATTTGGGTCACCCCTTCAGAGGATGGCATGATAACAGGAGGTAGGAATTGGCTAGGCAGTTAGGGTAAAAAGACCTCAAAGAAATGTAGTCAGTTTCTGAGCTAAAAGTCAAAATGTCCTTAGGCCGCGTAGCAACACACTCTGTTTCAAAGTCCAAAAATGTCAAAAGTATTTGGGAACTTTTATCTAATCCTTAAAAGATTTTAGGGTTGCCTCCTCAGAGGGGAGAATGTTGGAGGGGAAGGAGAGGGCATGGATTTGATCAAAACACCTTATATGCATGTATGAAATTCTCACTAAAGTTTTTATAAAATGAAAAAAAGAAAATGAGTTTCAGTGCTTGGTGGCACATGCCTGTAATCTCAGCACTCAGGAGGCTGAATGAGGCAAAACACTCAGGAGTTTGAGACCAGTTTGGGCTACATAAGGAGAACCTGTAACAAAACAAACAACATGACCAGGGACATAGCTCAGCGGTAGTGTGCCTGACTTGCATGCTCTAGACCCTGGATTCAACTCTAGTACAAATAAATAAAAACAAAGGGAGGAAAACACGATCACATATTTTTTTGTTTGCTTGTTTTATTTTTTAAGACAGGCTTTTACTCTGTAGCTGAGGCTACCCCAGCCTACTCTTGAATTTGGAAATCCTCCAGTCTCAGTCTTTCAATTGCCAAATTACAGGTATATACCAAACACCTGGCCTGGTCGGATGCTCAGTAAAGGAATTTTGTCTTTTTCAGTTAACTACACTGTCCCACCTTCTTACTGCCAAAGAGGAGGAACAAAGTCTACAAAGCCCATAACACACCACTGATAGCTGGGTACTTTTACTCCTGGACCAGAAAAATAGCTCAGCCAGTAAAGGTGCTTGCTGCCAAGCCTGACAATCTGAGTTCAATCCCTATAGGTTCCACATGATGGAAGGAGAACCAACTATGACAAGTTGTTGTCCTCTCTGAGACCTCTACATGTGAGTCACGGCATGAACACACATACAATAACTAGATAAAATGTAATTTTAAAAAATTTTACTTTGGGGCTGAAGACATGGCTCAGCAGTTTAAGAGCACTGACTGCTCTTGCAGAGGACCTAGGTCTGATTCCCAGCACTCATTTGGCAGCTAACAATGGTCTGTAACTCTAGTTCCAGGGGAACTGACACTCTCTTCTGACCTCCATTGGCACTGCACAACATGGGTATTACATGCAGGCAATACACTCATACACATAGAATAAATACAAATAATAAATAAAAAAAATTTTAATTCTTTTTTGTCCTCTCCAATTGTATGTTAGGTTTTGTTTTATTGGTTTTTAAACAGAAATGTTTATTTTCTTTCACAATGGTAGCCTTAGTCATCCCAGAAACATGACTAGAGTTAAATGCCTCAAACTATAGTAAGGTTTCAGGGGTTTGTTTTTTCAATATTTTATTTATTATTTTTATTTTTTATGTGTATGAGTGTATTGCCTACATGTATGTGACTGCACCCGTGTCGTGCAATGCCGCAGAGGTCAAAAGAGGGCTTCGGATTCCCTTGGAACTGGGGTTAAGGACGGTTTGTAGCCGCCATGTAGGTGCTGGGAATCAAACCCGGGTTCCCTGCAAGAGCAGTCAGTGCTCTTAACCGCTAAGCCATCTCTCCAGCCCCAGGTTTCTGTTTTTTGAGAAAGAGTCTCACACAGCCCAGACTGGGCTCCAAGACATGACAGTCAAGGATGACCTTGAACTCTGATCTTCCTGCCTCCACCTCCCAGGTGCATATGCTACCATGTCCAGTTATGGGGAGTGGGGGAGCTAGGGATCCAAACCCAAAACTTGGTGCATGCTAGGCAAGCATTCTACCAAAGCTCTATCTCTAGCCCTTCTCCAGTTTTTTTGAGACAAAGAGTATGTAGTCCACGCTGGCCCAGAATTCATGCTCCTGCTGCCTCAGACTCTCAGTGTTGAGATTACAGGTGTGTACCACACCACCTGTGCCAGCTGTGGGGGCACATGCCTTTAATCCCAGCATTTGGGAGGCAGAGGCAGATGGATCTCTGGGTTCTAAGCCATCCTGGCCTACACAGAGAATTCCAGGCCAGCTGGAGTTACAGGGAGACACTGTCTCAAAAAACAAACAAATAAAAAACAAAAGCAGGGGCTGGAGAGATGGTTCAGCAGCTAAGAGAACTGACTGTTCTTTCAGAAAGATCAGGGTTCAAATCCCAGCACCCACATGGTGGCTAACAACCGTCTGTAACTCCAGGTTCCAGAGGATGTGACACTCTCTTCTGATCTCCAAGGGCACTGCAGGACACAGATGCAGTTATACACATGCAGGCATACATGAAATAAACAGACAAAAAAATTTTTTGTCTTTTTTTTTTTTTTTTTTTTAAGCAGGGTCTCCCTGTAGCCCCAGCTGTCCTGGAACTATGTAGACCAGGCTGGCCTTGAACTCACAGAGATCCACCTGTCTCTGCCTCCCAAGTGCTCGACTACAGGCGTGCACCACCACACCCGGCTGACAAATTTTAAAAAATTTAAAAAAAAAGCAAAACAGAGATTGTAAGTAATATAGGTAATACATTTTACTTATATTAAACATTTATTTTATAAAATTAAAGGAATAAATGTAGCCAAATGTGAACATTTTGAAAAAGTACCTTTATACTATTAAGTTCTCCAGGACCAAATTGAAAAACTTTTGTTATTAATAAAACTTACTGCTCTCAGCAAGAATAATCAGTGTCACACTGGAAAAAGTCAAGATAATGATTACTGCCAAGGAACTCCCTTATGGAGAAAGTACCCACACACCTATGACAATGTAGACAGTTAGAAGGAACAAAGGACAAGGTACACTACCAACTCAGCATTAGTGAGAATGTGTAACATATCTGACCACAGAGATGCAATGACTCAATGTTTAATAGGTAAGTTTATAGAGAGCTATCATAACTCTTAGAACTTTTTTTTTTTTTTTTTTTTGGTCTTTTTGAGACAGGGTCGCCCTGCAGCTCCAGCTGTCCTGGAACTCACTATGTAGACCAGGCTGGCCTCAAACTCACAAAGATCAACCTGCCTCTGCCTCCCAAGAACATTTTTTATCTCAGAATATACTGCATTTCATAAAATAGACTTTTTTTTTTGTCTTTTTGAAGCAGGGTCTCCCTGTAGCCCCAGCTGTCCTGGAACTTTTTACGTAGACCAGGCTGGCCTTGAACTCACAGCGTTCCGCCTGCCTCTGTCTCCCAAGTGCTGGGACTACAGGCGTGCACTACCACGCCTGGCTGACAATTGTTTTTTAAGACTAGTAATTCCTCTTTTTTTCCAGTGTTAGGGATTGAGCCCAGAGCCTCACACATGCTTGACAAGTGTCAAGTTAATCAATTTGTATTTACAACACATTTTAGACTTGGCCTTTCAGACCCTTTCAGACCCCCTAAAGCTAACTAATGTAAGGAAGCTAAAAAGTGGGTCCCCCTAGGAAAATAAATCAGAACACAACATGAAGACTAAAAACATGATATAAGACATAAGTTTTGGGGCTGGAGAGATGGCTCAGCAGTTAAAAGCACTGACTGCTCTTGCAGAAGGACCTGGGTTCAATTCTCAGCACCTACATGGTGGCTACAAACTGTCCTTAACTACAGTTCCAGGGGAATCCGACGCCCTCTTCTGACCTCCGCAGCATTGCATGACACGGTTGTACTCATATATACATGCAGGCAATACATTCATACATATAAAATAAAAATAATAAATAAAATATTTAAAATAAAAAAATAAAGAGACTAAAGAGACAAAATAAGTTTTTAGGGTTCTTTTTTGGTTGGTTTTTAAAGACATGGGCCTATGAGATGGCTCAGCAAGAAAAGGTACTTGCTGATAAACTTCACAACTTGAGTTCTTTTTTCTTTTAAAAATTACATCGTGTGTGGCTTAAGCCCTACCATAGCACACTGTGGAGGTCAGAGAATTTCTGGAATTGGTTCTCCTAGACCATGTGGATCCCAGGGATCAAACTCAAGTCTTTGGACTTGGCAGAAAGTATCTTTACCTGATAAGCCATCTTGTCAACCCAATGTTTTTGGTTTTTTGAGACAGGGTCTCATTCTGTAGCTAGCCTGGCTTTGAACGCATGGCAAGTCTCCTGGTTTAGCTTCCTAGGTGCTAGGATTATAGGCATAAACTGCCACACTTAGCTTAACATTCCAGCTTTTTTGTTTCTTAAATGTTTTTAAAATTTATTTTATATGTCTGAGTGTTATGCCTGCATGTGTGCAAGTGCACCCATGTCATGCAGTGGCCGCAGAGAACAGAAGATGGCATGAGATACCCTGGAATTGGAGTTTTGAACAGTTGTTAGCCACCATGTGGATGCTGGGAACCAAACCTGGGTCCTCTGCAAGGTCAGTCAATGCTCTTAACTGCTGAGCCATCTCTCCAGTGCCCTTTCTTTAGCTTTTAAATTTTCAGTTATATTTATTTTATGGGTATGAGTGTTCTCCCCACATATATGTTAAAAAGCCCTCATTTCTGTGAGTTCAAGGCCAGCCTGGTCTATATAGTGAGTTCCAGGTCAGCTAGGGCTACAGAGAGACCCTCTCTCAAAAAGAAAAAAAAAAAAAAAGACCCGCCCTCTTCTGGCCCCTGTAGGCATTGTACAACAGAGGTGCATCTACATACATGCAGGCAAAATACTCATACACATAAATTTAAAAAAAAGAAAAACAAGAATTTTTTTAGCAAGCCATATGTTTATTTTAGGTTCGGGTTAATGGTTTATGCCATATACCCCAGGATGGCTTTGAATTGTGATTTTCTTGTAACGGTCTACCAAGTGCTAGGATCACAGGCTTCTACTACCATACCTATACACCTAGCCCCTTCTCTGTGGGGGTGTCTGTAAGTTTAAGCACTTATGTCTCACTTAACACATCTACACAGGAGTCAAAGTGCTCTACCTTAGAGCTTCTGTTAAGGCTCAAAATAACACCTTCTGATATACAGATTTCACACATATATCCCAATCCCAAACTAGCTTTTTTGTAAAACGTGACAAGATGATCCTATAATGCTTACAAAGATGCAAGGGAACTAGAAGAGCCAAAACAATCTTGAAAGTAAAAACCAGAAGTCACACCTCCTTAATGCAAAGCCTCTTACAAAGCTACAGTAACTGAAACGGTTGAGGGTACAGGGATGCTGTTCAATGGCCCAGCACTCACTAAGTGGGTTTGATCTCCAACACCACACATACAAAAAAGTACCTCAAGCCAGGCGTGGTGGCACAGGCCTTTAATCCCATCACTCAGGAGGCAGAGGCAGGCAGATTTCTGTGAGTTCAAGGCCAGTCTGGTTTACATAGAGTTCCAGCTGGGGCTGCAGGGAGACCTTGTCTCAAAATGACCATTAAAAAAAAATTATTTTTTTTTAAAGCTTGGTACAAAAATTCAGAGTCCAGAAATAAACTCTTAACTTACTATCGCCTGGATTTTAACAAGGGTGCCAATACCAATGAGAAAGACTAGTTTTTTCAATAAATGGTGATTAAAGACTTAAATGTAAAAGCTAAACTTATAAAACTCATAGGAGAAAACACACACAAATCTCTATTGAATTGGTCACCAGTTATGCTCAATAGCACTCCTGACACAGAAGCACTATCTGTTTTAAGCTATCTCTCAAGGATCCTGCACAGCTTCTAAGCCAAAATACTGCCCTGTAGCCAAACCCCAAAGATAAGCATAGATCAAGATCAAAGACAGACCACAGTGATTCGCTCAGCTTCACTAGACTGAAAGAGGGACTCCATTTACTGAACCTCACTAGTCCTAAGGAAATGGTTGCACAGGCATACCTAAGTCCCTGAAAAAACTCTTAAGAGAAACTTAAAGAAAAAAAATTTGGAAAACCATGTTTGGGAGGCTGAGGCAGGATTGCTAGAGCCCAGGAGTTGAAGCTCAGTCTGGACAACATAGCAAGATCTTGTCTCCTTAAAAAGGAAAGAAAAACAAGATACCTACAAAGCAAAGAAACCAAGAAGATTCATGAATTTGAATTTAATTCAAGGTGTGAGAAATTATTTAAAGATTAAAAAAATTTTTTTTTTTTATCTCTTTG